GACCAAAGAGTCTATTTAAAGTTCCCCACGATCTCATAAAGCGAAGTACAATGCAGGTCTGACTTCAGCCTGACCTGGTTTGAATCAGCGTTTTTGTCGGTCATGTGAGAAGTTCATGCGAGATTTTCTGAGATTAAAACAAAGATCAGGTCGCCCATAAAGAGCTTAAACTGCTAATCCAAGCTGGTGGGCCACACTGCCTCAGAAAGTTTATATTGTGGAACGTTACTAGCCTTTTCATGAATACTTTACCACTTTGCAGTATTATTTGGTATCAGGAAAATTCATTGTAAATCTGAACTAGAATCCGAGAACTATGAAGTATATAAAAAAGGATCATGCATGTTTAAATGTCCTGTACTACTTTATTTTATGATTTATGTTATAATGTTGTTTCCTTATCAAAAACAGTCCCGGAGTTGAGTTTTGTTTCATTCACACATGTTTAACACACAAATCCTGCATATTTAGACTTCTTGAAACAGAAAACTCTCTGTTCGACGTTGTCATTTGGTAAAAATTTAAGCCCTGGAATTGCCATCTTTATTGAATTTAAGGTTATCCCTCTCCAGGCAGGCGTTGCAGATTTGCAACAGCTAAATGCCAATTACATACTTACTCCAAATCCATATTTTATGAGCTTTTTTTACTCAGGAGCCTTTTTTCCCATCCATGCTGATAAACGTGGACGATGCAGACTGTGCAAGAATGGTTACACACAAACGACCTGCCAGAAGTGCAAAGTACTTTTGTTGTTTACAAAGGATAAAAATAGTTTCTTGGAGCACCACATGAAAAAGTGATGTTGTTCTGCCACTGTAAAGCTGTTACACTCTGCTTTATGTTTTCATTGTTATGAAAAGTGATATACACATAAAGTTAGTCGTTCATATCATTTTCAGTCTTCAGTGTTAATTTTCCACACCGGACCAATGCTGCAAATCTGCAACATCCCAGAACTCACTGGATGTGAAGGTCTCTCAAAAAAAAAAAGTCAGGATTGTATATTACTAACCCATATGATCATTTTCCCCAAATATCAGATTTTTTCCTGTTATTAATATTTAATTTGAGCCTGAGAGGGTTAAGAGTAGTTTTAAGGTGGAACAGAGCCTTTTGAGCTTTGGACATGTACACAGATAGCCACGCTGGCGCCACCTAATGTCTCCGCTCAGTTTCATTTCTCTCCAAGCGACTAGGTCAAGAATCGGAATACACTAGACGGTTTGCAAGAAGCCCCAAAGTTGTAAACGGCGCACCGGCCAATCAGCGTAGAGCTGTGAAGCCATGACGTCAAACTCAAGCGTCTGTCTGGGTCCCTTTTGTGGTGCAGCACAACAAAGCAGTTGAGATGGATGTAGACGAAGACATACATTCTGTGTTGGCAACAATTTCAGAGATCGAGCATTTAAAGCCGGAACAAAGAGAATGTTTGGCGAATTTTATCAAAGGGATAGACGTTATTGCCCTTCTTCCTACGGGATTTGGCTGCATTACATATGTCACGACCAAATAGCAGCGAGTGGTTAAATAAAAAAAGTACCCGCCTACCATCGAGCGAACAAATCCTAATGCTGCGAGGTTTCCACAAAGTGAAACCAGCTGATGAATCAGGCTAGTAGACAGACTAATGATAAAGGATTACTCAAACATGTGTGAATGAAACAAAACACAACTCCAAGAAGGTTTATGATGAAGTGACAACATTATAACATGGTTTAAAGTTCACAAGAGTCAATTTTGTGCAATATAGGCTGATGGAGATTATAGTGGAGACTCCTGTCGATCTATAAAGTGCAGAAACTGAATTTATTTCAAACTTCAACAATGTTTTGGTACTAGACCTCAAAAAATGCTTGATGGAAAATGGGATAAACACATCCAAACAAAGAGAACAATTCTTTTATATTTTGCTGTGATATCATCTACATGTATGTATATGGAGGAATGTTCAGCAGTTGCCATGGTGAAATTTCAAGACAAAAAAAAGAAAACGATTTAAACAGCACATTTTCAGGAGCCTATACGAGTGTTCATGGTTCTGTTTAGGTATTTGTTTGATTTTCAACAAAAAGGTGTGGCTGATTCTGAAAACTGAAAAAGTGTTGGCCAATACTATCGATCTTGTGACTAATTTTATTTGAGAGCGATTTGTTTAACATCACAAATCAGCTCTCCTGTTGTATTCAGATTGCGTTGAAACAAAGCTCAGCACAATTAAAGCCTAACTTCAGTGATAGATGGAGTGACCAGATTTTCAAAAAAAAAACAAAAAACAAAAAACTGGGACATCCTTTGTTATGGTTGGTTGGTAAAAATAAAATTGTGAAACGAGTGAGTGATTAAGGAAAACTGTTACGCACTCGGCACTAATGTGAGTCAGTATAGTCACATTTTCTTTGTATTTTTGTCATTTTTTAGCTGTATTTGACCTAAACAAATGGCAATTTATGTGTCTCTTTACTGTCGGCAGGGATCAGATTGGTCAAAAATAGGCGAGTTTCAGCTGACGTCATTGTTATTAAAAGCCCGCGTTGCATGCTGGGAAATATTTTGGTCGGAGGCAAGAAACACGATAGCGTCAAACACAGTGCGTAACCTCGCGTATTTATCTCTAATAATGGTAAATTCCTGCTGCATTATCGGATGCACAAATAGAAGGCATTTTCTTTTTCGCATTCTGAGTGAAAAAAGAACCGCTGAATTAAAAATGACTTTCAAACATCCGCAGAGCAAACGTAGAAGATCCTAACAAACCGTGGACTCCAACAAGTTCAACAACACATCGAGACTCTTGTAGACTTTCATCTTTTCTGCTGTGAATGGCCCAGGAGTTTCCACCAAGTCATTGTGGATATCGCCGAAGTGAATATTTGTCCAGGTAGTTGGCGATTCTGACCAGAAATTTGGTTTGGTCCACCTTTTGTCGGGGTTGAAAAGGGTGATTTGGCTCCATCGATGCTTATGACCAATTTCTGGTCAAATGGTCTTGGGTCCTCTGCCGTTAGAGTGGATAAATAACCGGGATCAATACCCTTTACGTGCTTTCTCGCTCCGTCCGTCATGTTGAATTAGTGTTGATTGCCGCCGACCAAAATAATTCCCAGCATGCAACGCGCGCTTTTGTCAACAATGAAACTCGCCTATAGGGACACCTGGGACATTTCTTGTATAAAACTGGGACAAATCACTGTTTTTGGATAAATCTGCTGAGACAGGGGACACAGGGCTCAAAACTGGAACTGTCCCGGGTAAAAAGAGACATCTGGTCACCTTAGAGATAGAGCTTCAGACAGATCAGTGCCACAGTTAGCGTCAAACCCCTAGGGAACAGAGAAAATATCAGTTACATTATCCAGAACTCTTTCAGCAGACATGACGTAGAAAAAATAACACTTGACATCAATCCTCACTTCCAGTTATAATAATGTGAGGTCTCTCTAGTTCTAGTAATAGAAGATCCCAGATGGACACGTTTCTGTACGCATAAAGCGATCAAAACCACATTACAAAAACTGAAAACTCACTCTGTCCAAACCAGTGCTCCATCATCACTATTCTCCTGCTTTTACTTTCAACGTTCAATCAATACAAACTTTCAATGCAGCGTTTTTCCTCTCTGCGCTCGGCTGCGGTCTCAAACCCACACACAGACGCAGCAGAGGGAGCAGAATGGAGCTATTGACCCTCCGGATAAAGACAGCAGTATGGAACAGTGAATGTACAGAGGCTGTGGTTATGGGCGACACACAGAACACTGAAGACAAGTGTGGACCCTATTGAAATAGACCAAACAGATACTTATAGAGGCTAAATGCTAATGTTAAACTCTAATAAAAGTATCTGGAGGTTTGTATTTGACGTTCCCTTTTTACATGTAGATACTTCTTGGGTATTGTGTATGTATGTACCAGTATATGAATGAATGAGTTTCCTATAAGGGCCATGAACTTAAATTTCACTAAATTGACGTGTGTTCCCCAGATATGAGGTAAACATATTAAAATCTAATATGGGTTTTACTGAAAACAGTTGTTATGTTGGTTTATATTCCACTATTTTGTGACCTGTGTTATAAAATTGTTTCCTCGAGTCAGACTTGAGTCACTATTTTTAAAATTTGAGATTTGACTTGACAAAATGGACTAAGACTTGGGACTCGATTTGGACTTGAAGGTCAGTGACCTGGGACCTGACTCGGACTTGAGCCCTGAGAAGACTTGATGCTTCTTTTAAAATATATATATAGAGATTTTTTTTTTTTTTAGAAAATATGTTTCTCTTTACAGTTGATACATGTGGTGCTGAATTTTACAGGAACAAACTGGAACATGTCTCTATCTCTGCTTCTCTGTTTGTTACTTTGGTTGTAACTGAAGTACTGTGATCCTCAAATGTACTACAGTAAAATACAGTACAATACAATAAAACAGAGGGAACTACAAAAAACACGATCCTAACCCATTTCAGTGCAGACTACACAACAAAATAACTGTTATTAAACACTTTTAAATCTTAATTATTTCTATTCTGACCGTAATGATTCACACTAAGATCATGTCAAAACATTAAAAAAGCAAAAAGTATTTCTACAACTCTTATGAAAATACTCATGTATAAATATACCATGACTTTTTAAGTACAGTTTAGTATAAAATTCATATAAATTGCAAAAATCTAAGATATATTTGGTACTTTGGTTTAAAAACTTGAAATGACTTGAAGCTCAAAGCAGACGACTTGGACTTGACTTGGACTTATGGGCCAGTGACTCGACTTGGATTTGCCTGCATTTGACTTGGGACTTGGCTCGGACTTGAGACTTACTTGAGATTTGCAAAACATCGACTCATGTCATGTTTTACACACGCTGCAGATTTGGGCTCTCGAACGGAAAACACTCTGTTCCACCTTGTGATGTCATGTCTTAATACAGGAAGTGTTTTATTTAACCCACATTTATGTATTTCTAAATGGATGTTTTTTGTGTTCTGTTTCAGGATTATTTCTCTTCAGTGATGCTTCGGTCTCTCTGTGGATTTGATGTGAACTACAACAACAACTGGAGGATTTAGCAACTCATTTTTCCAACATCAGTGGATTACTTTTTACTCATTTTCTCTTGGACTAATCTAAAAACTGGACCCAGGACTTGGATCCGGCACGTTTGGTCTTTTTTGTGGATTTAAAATGATGACTGTGATGATGCTAATGAGCTGCAGCGGGCTAATGCTGACGTTAGCATTAGCTGCAGCCTCGTCCTCCCGCTCCTCTTCCTCCTCCACGACTCCTTCAGCTCCCAGGATGAAACTGTCTTATAAAGGTAAGAACTGGGTTTGGTCTGGGTTAAATATTGTCTGTAGTGTAAGAAAACTCTGACTCACATTTGGTCACTCTGCTCTTGTTTTGGTCATGACTGAAAAACTACAAAATGGCGTCGTTATCATTTTTTTTTTTGCCACCTTCCGCCATATTGGTTTGTAGTTTATAATGTAAACAAACATAAACTCAAAAGTAGGGTGACCAGACATCCCTATTTACCCAGGATAGTCCCAGTTTTGAGCCCTGTGTCCCCTGTCCCAGCAGATTTATCAAAAAAAAAACAAAAAAACAGTGATTTGTCCCAGTTTTATACAAGAAATGTCCCAGATGTCCCTATTTTTGACCAATTTGAGCCCTGCCAACAGTAAAGAGACACATAAATTGTCATTTGTTTAGGTAAAATATAGAAAAGCTGCTTAAAAATGACCAAAACACAAAGAAAAAGTGACTATACTGACTCACATCAGTGCCGAGCAGTGCTGGAAGTATAAAAGTAACAAATTACTGTAATGCGTTGATTTTTGCTGTAATGCAGTAATATTCGGCATTACAGGGAAAAAAGTGGTAATATTTTATTCGGTACAAATGTCACTAATGCGCGTTACAATGCTTTTTTAACCTGGATTGAAGTGGTGGGTTTTTTCGTTTTTCTTCATACAAATTCACTAAAATCACCGCAATATCAGCAGCGGTGAAACGTCTGAGACACGCCCACGTAGACCGTCAGGAGACCGCGGGCGAAAGGACCGGCACAGAGGTCCGCGCTCCACGGGGCGAATCGCAGCTGATGCCGAATCACGCTTGGGGGTTCTCTCAGGGGTGGTTCTAGATTCCAAGTTCTAGTCCAAGATTAGTCCTGGTTTAGACCTGGTTTAGTCCTGGTTTAGTCTTGGTTTAGTCCTGGTTTAGTCTTGGTTTAGTCCTGGTTTAGTCCTGGTTCAGTTCTGGTTTAGTGCTGGTTTTGTCCTGGTTCAGTCCTGGTTCAGCTCTGGTTTAGACCTGGTTTAGTTCTGGTTCAGTTCTGGTTTAGTCCTGGTTTAGTCCTGGTTCAGTCCTGGTTCAGCTCTGGTTTAGACCTGGTTTAGTTCTGGTTTAGTCCTGGTTTTGTCCTGGTTCACCTCTGGTTTAGACCTGGTTCAGCTCTGGTTTAGATCTGATTTAATCCTGATTTAGTCCTGGTTTAGTTCTGGTTTAGTCCTGGTTCAGTCGATATACGGCGCAAAAGTTTGGCATCTTCGCACAGTTATTTTGGTGAGAGTAACTTTAAAGTGCTGCAATAGTCGTGTAATGTTTTACATTTAATTACAGTAATATTGTAATGTAACTAATGACTTTGAAATGACAGTAACAAGTAATTAATAACACATTACAGTTTTAAAGTAACTTGCTCAACAGCGATGCCGAGTGCATAACAATTTTCCTTAATTACGCACTCGTTTCACAATTTTAATTTTACTAACTGTACCAAGAACATAAAGAAAAATCCCGCACACCATTTTACTTGCAAAATGTGAGATTTATTAGGACAAACAATGCAACATTTCAGCACTAGGCCTTTTTTTTTTTTGCCTGATGATTTTTTTTAGCTGATTTTTACGCAGGATTTTTCTCTATGTCCTTGGGCTTCTCCGTCTCCTCCTCCTTTACGAAGTTCTCTTTCTTTTATACCAACTGTCCCAAACCATGTCCCAGTTTTTTATTTTGAAAATCCGGTCACCCTTCTCCAAAGGAAACACGCGCTAACTGCTCAAATATCAGTATTCAGTTTTTAGGAAAATTTCAGCTTTCCAGTGTTAGACTAATAACCCTCTCCTCCCATTAAACTCTATGAAACGCCACATAAAAACAGTCTGATAGAAACAACATGGCGCCGACTGCCGAAATATCCATCTGTAATCTGCACTGACCGCCCCGCATGACGTTAGTTGGCAAAAAAAGATTGTGACACCGATTTCCTTTTGAGTCTGGCTGCAGCTGCTCTGTGGAGTCGAGGTGGAGGTTTGGTGATACTGGCCGCAGAGTCGAAAGTTAATAATTTCCTCGTGGTTAAGTTTAAGGTTAGGTTCAAGGTTTGGGTTACGGGTGGATAATGGTGTGTAAAATGATTTGTTATATGATTCAAAGTCACTAAGTTCATATTGTATATCTGGTGGATTCTTAGCCGGGCATTTCTCTTCAGCGACCAGGTCAGGAATCGGAATGCACTAGACGGCTCGTAAAAACCCCAGAAGTGCAAGTTCGGGCACCAGCCAATCAGCGAAGAGCCATACATTCTGTGTTGGTAATGATTCCCGAGATCGAGGATTTAAAGCTAGTGTGAGATCATATTTTGACCCCCATAGTATAAACATACCGCTATAGTAAAGTGACTTCCCCCATAGGATTTTGACTCCCCTAAGTTTTTTCTTTAGTAGTCACTTATATGATCATTATTTCTCATGTAATTTACTTTTATTATGTATTGCCACATATTCACTTTCTTTTAAGGTGTTTTAAGGAATGTTTTGATGGAGAACGACTTGGTATTTTGTGTAAATGTAACGTATTATTAAAATTGCATATACAGAGCAATCTTGTCACTTTTTATATTGTATTTTACATTGTTATGGTTTTTAGTTTGCTATGTTCAGAAAATCCTTAATCATAATGTCAATTTAGGAAATGGTTTGTAAGGAAAACAACCTTGAATTTAGTCATGTTGTGTTATCATATCCCCTATTTGCAACATCCACTAAACTCAGAGTTTCAGCTGCTTCCCTCTGGTCAGAGGCTTTTTGTCCCAAGATCTAGAACGAATCGTTTTAAAAGGAGCTTCGTTCCAGCTGTTATTATACTTATGAATAAATTGTAATCTGTTTATCTAAGATTGTGTGTTTTTAACATATTTAATATTTATTGTGATTTTAGCCAAGCGTGATGGATGAATTTATTTGGTTGTTTATGGAACAAACCATTCTGCACTGGAGCACTGTAACACTTTATTTTGTAATTGTGATTTTATGTGTGTTTTGTGGATGAATGAAATGTGAAATGTGGAACCTGCCTCTCAAATCTGCAAAGCAAATTTACCTACGGGTACGAATAAAGCGACCTAACCTAACCTAACCATTTAACTTCTCAACTGATCACCCCTGTCTATTTTAACAAGATTCCAAATCATCATACATCACTGTGATTACTTAACTAATTAATAACTACTTATCACATGTTCAGTAAAATATGTGTTTAAACAACTAAGTAATTTTAAAAATTCAAAAGTTATAATTGACATTAAAAAAATGCATCTGAGTTCTTCAAAAACACTTTTAAATATGTCTATGTTTTAATTTGCAGATATAGTATTAATATTCAAAGTTTTTCTATAGAATTCAAGTTCTTTATTAATAAAATATAGATTTTCATAGGGGGGTCAACATACCATAATAGGATTCTGACCCCTCACCTCAGGTCAAAATCCTATACCACACCACAAAGAGAATGTTTGGTGAATTTTATCAAATGGAAAGACGTTATTGTCCTTCTTCCTACGGGATTTGGGAAAAGTTTAATATACCAGTTAGTCCCGTTAGAGGCGCATTACATACGTCACGACCAAACAGCAACAATTGGTTAAATGAAAAAAAGTACCACCCTACAGTCGAGCGAACGAATCCTAACGCTGCGAGGTCAGACAGTTTTTATGAAGTGAAACCGGTGTGGTATAGGATTTTGACCCCGCGGTGAGGTGACCCCGGGGTCAACAGACCATGTAGTATTTTGACCCCAGGGTCAGAATCCTATTATGGTATGTTGACCCCCCGTATAGAATATTGACCCCCTATGAAAATCTATATTTTATTAATAAAGAACTTGAATTCTATAGAAAAAATTTGAATATTAATACTATATCTGCAAATTAAAACATATTGACATATTTAAAAGTGTTTTCTGAAGAACTCAGATTCATTTTTTATATCAATTATAACTTTTGAATATTAAAAATGACTTAGTTGTTTAAACATATTTTACTGAAAATGAGATAAGTAGTTATTAATCAAGTGATGTCTAATGATTTGGAATCTTGTTAAAATAGACAGGGGTGATCAGCTGAGTTGTTAAATAGATGATAGAAGATTTGTTAAATGGTTTCTGTAATCAATAACTTCACTTAAAATGACATGTGGATTTTCTGAACATAGCAAACTAAAAACCATAACAATGTAAAATACAATATAAAAAGTGACAAGATTGTTATGTATATGCAATTTACATTTACACAAAATACAAATACAGACGAATCCAAAGTTCAAAAACTCATCAGAATCCATCTTGTGAGGCTCCAGCTGCTGCAACTGGGCCCAACGTGTGGATCAGGGAAGCGTGTTTGTACTTTTCTCTGTACTGGATGTAACAAAGGCTGAACTGAGCCATCCCCGGATTTACTATTTTGTCCGACCGATGTCAGACGTCAGCTGCACATCTCAGCGTGGATCTTGCGTAGATCCCTAAAACCCGGTGAACATCGGTTTATTTGTGACCCCGCGTTTTATTGCTGGTGTCGTCTTAGTTTGTCTGAAAACACAGCAATTTGTTCATTTCAGTTCAGGACAATCCTTCCAATAAAATCCATTTATTGTGAGTTTAATTGTCCCCACCCATAAACTCTGACATCAACCCAAACATGAACCAGAACTGGGTCATTTTGTCTGGGCTTCTTTGGGGCAATTGTGGCGTGGTGGGTTAACTGTTCACTAGACCTGTCACGATAACAAATGTTGAAGCACGATATATCACTACAGAGGAATATTGTGATAAATGATAATAATAAAATAACTTTATACCATTGGCACAAAGCAGAATGATCCCAGTAAAGCAGTTTCATTAAAAGACCTGAACTCCAACAAATAAATCGCAGAATGAACCAATAATTAGCCATAGAAGTTATTTATTCAACCCTCAACAGCTTAAATCTTATCGTATTACCAAAAAAAAAAAAGGCAAAAATCTCTCTACTAGTGCAAA